GAAGGCAGATGCTTAACTGACTGAACCACCCAGGCGTCCCTCTTTGTTGAAGTTCTTATTGTGTTTGTCCTTTCTTCTCCTGAGATCAGTGAGCATCTTTATGACCATTACTTTGGATTCTGTATCAGGGAGTCTCCCTATCTCTATTTCATTAAGGTCTTTTTCTGAGGGTTTGCCGCCGCCTTTGGTTTGGAGAATATTCCTCTGTCTCCTTATTTTGCTTGTCTCTCTGTGTTTGTCTATATGTATTAGGTAAAACAGCTACCTCCCTCGGTCTTGAAGGCGCAGTCTTGTGTAGGAAATGTTCCGTGTGGCCCAAAAGTCTCCCTTGGCCACCAGAGCCTGGCACTCTGTGGGTGTCCCTGGTGTGGGCTGCACGTGCATGCCGGCGGTGACGGGGCCACAGGTGCGTGGGGAGGGCAGGGCTCGGGGCCCTTGCCCAGCTCTGTTGTGGTTGGGCTGCTGCATGGGGAGAGTGGGATGCAAGCTGCTTTCCCTTTCCTTGTGGCCTGGTCTCTGCATGGGGAGGGCAGGCCTTAGGGCATTCACCCTGTCCACGTGCAGCTTAGCCACTGTGTGGGAAGGTGAGGCTCAGGGCACTGACCGGGCCTGCTGGCATCTTGGCCACTGAGCAGGGACAATGGGGCTTGGCATGCTCACCTGTCCTCCCCATGGCTTGGTCTCTGTGAGGGTCGCATGGTGCTTGGGTTGCTCACCCAGCTCTGTTGTGGCTCAGATGTCTTGCAGGGTGTGTGGGGGGCTAACCCAGCCCCGTTACAATGTAGGATGGGCAGAACATGCCCTCTGGTGCTGGTAGGTGCCCAAAATGGTGCCTGTCGGCTTCATCACCAGCAAATTAGGATGAGGTTGCCAAAATGTTGTTGGTCAGCACGTCCTTTCCCAGACAAAATCCTTGTAAGTTCTGTCTCTGTGGCAGCTGCTTGGGAAAATTAGTCAGTGTGTCTCTCTTCTTTATGGTCTAGGCGCTTTTCAGTCTGTTGCTTCTGTGCTGGATATCAGGGTGGGTGGGTTTTGCACGAGAGCCCTGGAAGAATCTCTTCAAGGGATCTCTCTGTTCCCGACATTCTCTGATTCTCCTGGCCTTAATCCCCATTGACTTTCAAAACCAAACATTTGGGGGGCTTTCTGGTGTGGGCCCCAGGGTCAGGGGTGCTGATGTGGGCCACAGTCCCTTTACTCTTTGAATACCATATTTTTATGATCTCTTCTGATTGTGGGGTCGCCACTCCTGGTGTAGGGTCCCACGTGAGGTTCTGTCACTGCCATTCCTGGCCTTCTCCTTGTGTCTCTTTGTCTTTTGTTGTGGAGGTGCTGTTGTTCATCTAGTTCTCAGGTCCTTTTTAGAGGAAAATTACTCTATATAGAGCTGTAAGTTTGTTGTGTCCGTGGAAGGAGGTGATTTCATGGTCTTCCCACAGGGCTGTCTGGAACTCCCATTGTGGTTTTAATTTGCACTTTCTTCAGGACTAATGATGTGTTGAATATCTTTCTGTGTGCTTATTTGTGATCTGTATGTTTTCTTTGGTTTAATATCTTTCTTCCTTTTTTTTTTTAGTTATGAGAGCTCTTTATATATTCTCAATACAGTTTTTTGTGTTTTTTTTTTTTTTTTGCCAGAATGTGATTTGTAAATATTTTCTTTCATTCTGTGGCTTTTTCTTCTTTTAACAGTGTCTCTTGAATTTCACTCTCCCATCTAAGAAATATTTGACTAACCTAAGGTTAAAAAGATTTTCTCCTGTGTGAGTGTATTTTTTTTTTAAGCCCCAACACAGGGCTTGAACGCATGACCCTGAGATCAAGACCTGAGCTGAGATCAAGAATTGGACGCTTAACTTACTGAGCCACCCAGGTGCCTCTCCTGTATCTTCTAGAAATTTTATAGGCTTAGATTTCACATTTAGGTCTGCGATCTGTTCTGTATTTTGAGTTTTATATATGTTGGAGATACTTATTGGAATATTTTGTTTTTGCATATGTATATCCAATTGTTTCAGCACCATTTGTTGAAATGGGAACTCCCATTTTCCGTTTAATTGCCTTTGCACCTCTGTTGAAAATAATTTTGGGGGCGCCGGGGTGGCTCAGTGGGTTAAAGCTTCTGCCTTCAGCTCAGGTCATGATCCCAGGGTCCTGGGATTGAGCCCCGCATTGGGCTCTCTACCCAGCAGGGAGCCTGCTTCCCTTCCTCTCTCTCTGCCTGCCTCTCTGCCTACTTGTGATCTCTGTCTGTCAAATAAATAAATAAAACCTTTAAAAAAATAATTTTTAAGTATAAAGATATAAAGTACATTTAACTATACATGAAATGCAATTTATAAGTGTACAGCTTGGTGCGTTATCACAGAGTGAACACACTGTCTAGTCACCCCCCAGGTCAAGATTAGAAGAGGACAAGGACCTCCAAGTCCCCACTCATGCCTTTTCCCAACCAGTACCACCCAAACCAGTACCACCCACAAAGGTAATTACTCGCCTTTTTTTTTTTTTTTTAAGATTTATTTATTTATTTATTTGACAGAGGGAGACAGTGAGAGAGGGAACACAAGTAGGGAAAGTGAGAGAGGGAGAAACAGGCTTCTCGAGGAGCAGGGAGCCCGATGTGGGACTCAATCCCAGGACACTGGGATCATGACCTGAGCCAAAGGCAGATGCTTAATGACTGAGCCACCCAGGTGCCCTTGCCTGACTTTCAACATTATGGATTAGCCTTGCCTGTGCTCTTACTCTCTATATAAATAGAATCGTGTAGCATATACTCTTGTGTCTAGGTTCTTCTGCTCTTCAGTACATCTGTGAGATTCATCTGTGTTACGCAGTTTGTAGTTCATTTATTTTCGTCACCACACAAGATCCCGTTGAATGACTGCCACAGTTTCCCTTTGTGTTGTTGAGGGACATCTGATTTTTTTCCCCTGATTTAGTTTTAGAAGTAGGGCTTCTGTGAACATCCCTGCACTCGTTTCTAGAGCACGTGTGCATGATTTTCTTGAAGCTGTGTACCTAGAAGAATTGCTGCGTCGTACCGCATGCAAATCACTAACTTTAGTAAACACTGTTAAACAACTTCCCCAATCAGCTCTGCTTCCTGCTAACTGTGGGAGTTCTCATTTCACCACAGTCTTATGCTATTTTCGGCTGCTTCATTATAACCTTTCTAGTCGGGGTACAGGAGTGTCTCAGCATGGCTTAAATTTTCCTTTACCTGAGTGCTAATCGGGTGGAGTACATTTTCTTATGTTCACAGGCCATTTGGATCTTGTTTTTAGTGAAGTACACATTCACATCTCTTCTCAGCTTTTTGGTGTTGTCTTTCTTCTCTATGTGCAGGGGTTTTATATGCACCAGAGAAGATCCCTTTATCAGTGTTGAATGTTGCAGATAATCTCCCCATTTCTTTTTACTGTTCTACCTTTTTTGCTTTTATTTAAATTGCAGTTAGTTAAGATACAGTGTATTATTAGTTTCAGGCATACAGTATAGTGACTCAGCACGTCCATACAACACCCAGTGCTCATCATGACAAGCGCCCTCCTTAATCCCCTTCCCCTGTTTCACCCATCCCCCACCCCGTCCCCTGTGGTGACCATCAGTTTGTTCTTTACAGTCAAGAGTGTTTCTTGGCTTGACTCTTTTTCTCTTTTGTTTTCCCCTTTCCTCATTCATTCTGTTTCTTAAATTCCGCATATGAGTGAAGTCATATGGTATTTATTTTTCTTTGACAAACCTATTCCACTTAGCATAATACTCTCTATCTCCATCCGCATTGCAAATGGCAAGATTTTGTTCTTTTTTATGGCTGAGTACTAGTCCATTGTAGATACATAACACATCTTCTTTATCCATTCATCAGTCAATGGACACTGGGCTCTTTTTTCATAATTTGGCTATTGTTGATAATGGTGCTATAAACATCAGGGTGCATGTATCCCTTCAAGTCAGTATCTTTTTTTTTAAGATTTTATTTATTTGACAGAGAGAGAAACAGCAAGAAAGGGAACACAAGCAGGGGCAGTGGAGGAGGGAGAAGCAGACTTCCCACCAAGCAGGGAGCCTGATGCGGGGCTCGATCCCAGGACCCTGGGATCACAACCTGAGCCAAAGGCAAACGCTTAACTGACTGAGCCCCCCAGGTGCCCCTTAAGTCCGTATCTTTGAATCCTTTGGGTAAATAGCTAGTAGCAGAGTTGCTGGATTATAGGGTAGCTCTATTTTAACGTTTTTGAGGAAACTCCATACTGTTTTCCGGAGTGGTTGCCCCAGCTTGCATCCCTACTACCCTTTCTCCACATCCTCGCCAACACCTGTTTTTTTGTGTGTTCTTAATTTTAGCCATTCTGACAGGAGTGAGGTGGTGTCTATCTCATTGTGGTTTTGATTTGTATTTCCCTGACTGTTGTACTTTTAATCTTGTAACATTTACAAATCTTTTCCTTCATGAGTAGCACTTTCCACATCTTGTTTCAGAATTCTTTCCCTTCACCAAGACCATGAAGACATTTTCCTGTCCTGTTTTCTAGGCACCTCCTGTGTTAACACTCACATTAGATTGACAGTTCCTCTGTAGCAGATTCTTGTGTATGGCGAGTTAGTGGCTAAAGGTGATTTCCCCCCATAGATACCCAGTAATCCGTCCACATTTATTTGAAAAGGTCATTCCCCCCCCTTCCAATGCCTTGCCATGTCAACTTTGTCATAACTCAGGTGTCCAGAGGGCATCTGGATTCTCTTTTTAGTCCTACTGGACTGTCCTTCCTTGTGCAAGTACCACATCGTTGAACATACATTCTGTATACTTATGGAACAGTCCATATACTCGATGGATCAGACTTTCTGCTGGGGCTTGTGATTTCCCAACAAAGCAGGCGTCCGGTATTAAGTCATCATCACGAACTGGGAACCCAGTCAGCAGTTCCCTGCATTTCATCCTCCTCACCCAGTGGTCAGTATTTTGGAGTACAAGGAATGTGCAATTACAGGGACTCGTGACATTCGAGGATGTGGCTGTGGATTTCACTCCGGAGGAGTGGCAGTACTTGAACCCTCCACAGAAGACTCTGTACCGAGAAGTGATGCTGGAGACGTACAGCAACCTGGTCTCTGTGGGTAAGAATGGCCTCCTCAGGTTATTTTGCTGCTCGTGACTATTGTGTCTGATAGAGGGCCTTTCCTTGCTCGCTCTGGAAAACTTGTAAGGTCTCTGAACTGCCTGAAACCTCGGACGTTGAGTTTCGGGGATCGAAGTTTCCTCACAGGGTGTTTGTGAACTCAAAACCCAGGTGGAATGGTGTGACTTGACCACTGGACCATTGTGTCAAGTGAGCGGGTCTCCCACGCTGCCCCAGACCCCACCGCCCTCTTTCTCAGACGCTCTCTGAAGACCCAGGAGGTATCACTGTCATTTCTCATTAGCAGGACCGCAGGGGACCAAACCAGACCTCATCCTCAAGTTGGAGGTCAAAGAGCCATGCCTGGGAGAAACAAAAATCTCCTTCTGGAGCTTTCCAGGTGAGTGGGATCGACTCAAGATGACGGGGCCGGGGGTGCCAGCTTGTCAGCCAGGGGCGATTGTCAGCCAGGGGCAAGGACATCTGAAAGAGCTTTCAGGAATGTCTGGAGAAGCGCTGTGACCCTTTATTCTTGTTGGACAGGGACATGAATACCTCAGACATAGGACTGACACCACCCGCCCCTGTCCCACACCCACTAGACCACTCCCCTTAAGTTGGTGCTCACCCTAAAGTTTCTGCACAGCCTTTTCTCCCAGTGGCTAAGTGTCTTGTAAGTGCCGGTCCTGCCCCACGCCCTCTCCCAGTCTCGCTTCTCACTGCCTTACCTGAAGCCAGGCCCCCCTGAGTCCCAGGCCTGGGCTACCTGTTTCCATCCAGTCTAGATAATCCTATCAGGTTGCTCTCCTAAATCATCTTGATTATCTTTGTTTAAAAATAGCTTTATTGAGAGAGAATTCCCAGACCACAAACTGCACTCTCTCTGATAGATACAAATGCAGCGGTTTTTAGTATCTTCGCCAAGGTAGGAAACCATCACCATTATCTAATTCTAGAACATTATCGTCACCCCAGAAAGAAGCCCATACCCCTCATCAGTCAGTCTCTATTTCCTCCTTCCCCCATCCCCTGGCAACCACTTTCTGCCTCTATGCTTTTTCCTGTTCTGGAGATTTCATGTAAATGGAACCATACAAAATGTGGCCTTTCGTGTCTGGTCTCTTTCACTCGGCATGGTTTCCAGGCTCCTCCACGGGGTAGCATGTGTTAGGACTTCATTCCGTTTTATGGTGGGATGATCCTCTGGTGTCTGGCTTCCACCACTTCTGTTCATTTATCTGCGGATGGGTATGTAGGCTGTTCCTACTTTTTGGCCATTAGAAAGCTGCTATGAACATTGATGTAGAATTTTTTATGGAGATGAATGTTTTCATTCCTTTTGAGTATGGACATAGGAGTGGGATTGTTAAACCACATGTTTAACATTTTGTGGAGCTGCCAAATGATTAATATCCTGTTTTCAAAAATTTTTACTGAGTGGTTTTATCACCCACAGAGGATTCTTGCCCGAATCATTTTATAAGATATTTGGAAGAAGGAGGGGGAATTTTCTATCATTCCTTCTCCATTTATAAGTTGGCAGTCTTCGCTTACCCTGTCCCTTTAATGAATGCATTTTAGTATCGGTATGGACTCAGAGTTTTATTTTTCAGGATGTTATAATGCACTAATGTCTTCAGTCGTTACTCATTTTGATGTTCAAATTGTCCTCAGCTTGGCCAGTAGGAGTCCCTTCGGGCTGGCTCCTCCGTCTCTTAACATGACCCCATCCTTCTCTGAGCACTTTCTAGCACAGAAATATGTTCCAGGTTCACACTGTACTTGCCCTGTTTCAGACCTAGAATCAGCAGCTTCTCCAAGGATTTCTGATCCCTTTTAGTGGGGGATGGTACTGAGAAATGAGGATCCGGGGGCAGAGGGTCCTCACAACTCCTTGCGTTCTCGTTTCTCATAATGTACAAACGATTCCCAGCTATCTCCTCCCCCCTTTTAAGTAACTGTTTGTCTTTTAGTTTCCCATGGTCTGGACTTTGCTAAGTACCCTACTTAACATATTCCCCTGTCCCTTATTTTTTGCTTATAAATTGATGGTTAGATTTTGAAGTTTGACCAGATTCAGGATTTTATTTTATTTTTTTTTCTTTAAGCAAGTTCACTTCCTGGCTGGCATGACATCCTCTCATCAGGAGGCATGTAATGCATGGTTGTCTGTTGTAGTTATGAGTTCTCGGTGGTCATTGCTTGTATCTGTTCATTAATGTTGCAAAATGGTGATATTCTGTCATGCCTTCTTTGTTGATTAGCTGGAATAGTTCTATAAAGAAGACTGATTGCCTTTCATCTGTTACTTACATTGTGTGTTCCAGGAGTTCCATTTCAGTTATATACGTTTTCCCATTTGTTTACCAGTTTTAAAAATAATGAGTTGGTTTTATAGCATCATTCAAAAGGTGACTAATAGGTCTTTTTTTAGATTTTAAAAAAGATTTATTTATTTATTTATTTGACAGAGAGAGAGAGAGAGATAGAGATAGATCACAAGTAGGCAGAGAGAGAGGGGGAAGCAGACTCCCCACTGAGCGGGGAGCCCGATGCAGGGCTCAATCCCAGGACCCTGAGATCATGACCTGAGCCAAAGGCAGAGGCTTAACCCACTGAGCCACCCAGGTGCCCCAATAGGTCTTTTTAAAAAAAATAATCAATATTTTGTGTTTTAATCCATTGCCTTATCCTCATTATGAATCAGACTGCCTTATCTCTGGCCAGGGGAAACTTTGTGGTGTCACAGGATGTTCCAGGCTCATTTTATATAGTTCTCATCTCTGGCCTGGAATGAGCCATTTCTCCAAGGTGCCCTGTTTTTTGTTTGTTTGTTTATTTGTTTGTTTTGGGGTTTTTTTGGTTGGTTGGTTGGGTTTTTTTGGTGGTAAATGGTGTTTTTTTTAAAGATTTTATATATTGATTTGACAGGGAGAGATCACAAGAAGGCAGAGAGGCAGGCAGAGAGAGAGGAGGAAGCAGGCTACCTGCCAAGCAGAGAGCCCAATGTGGGACTCGATCCCAGGACCCTGAGATCATGACCCGAGCCGAAGGCAGAGGCTTAACCCACTGAGCCACCCAGGCACCCCGTAAATAGTGTTTTGAGACCACAATTTGGATGCTAGTGAATTGCTTCTAGGCCTTTTAAAAATTGACAGGGATGCCCAGGTGGCTCAGTCATTAAGCGTCTGCCTTCGGCTCGGGTCATGATCTCAGGGTCCTGGGATCGAGCCCCACATTGGGCTCCCTGTTCAGTGGGGAGCCTGCTTCTCCTTCTGCCGGTGCTCTCTCACTCTCAATCTATCTCAATTAAAGTCTCTCAAAAAAGTAAAAATAAAAATTGACAGAGCTAGGAACCATGTAAAAATGATTTCTAAAAAGATTTTATTTGAGAGAGAGCATGGGTGAGAGAGAGAGCAGGAGCTGGCGGGGGGGCAAGGAGACTCCCTGCTGAGCAGGGAAGCCCAATGCAGGGCTTTACCCCCAGGCAGACGCCCAACTGACTGAGCCGTCCAGGTGCCCGGTAAAAAAAGTTTTTGTAAGAGGAAATAAATCATGTATTCCAATTGACACTTCTCCTTCATTGAAAAAGATTGGTATTTCCAAATCAGATTCTGGGGTTAAACGTTTCTGTTAATCTTACATCTGATGGTAATGTAGTTAGTATTCTTCTGAGACTGCTGTTGATAGTGGTGTGAATCAACTGAGGTAATCACGTTGGTGCCGTTGAGAACCAAGACTTTCCAGCAATGGTGGTCTGGAAATACAGATGAGGGTATATTATTATTATTGCGGGATCCTTTTAAATCCAGTTTTGCTTTAGGAATGTATAAAATACTGACTTGGTTCCAAAGTCAAATCTAGAAAAGAAGGTATATTTAAAGAAGTTCAGCTTCTTTCCTTGCATTTCATTCTCTCCCTTCCTTCTGTAGGTAACCATTTATTAAAATGCAAAGGTGTATTCTTCCCTTGTTTACCTGTTGAGCCTATTTAAGTATGTATTTATAGATTTCTTTCCTTAGAAATATGGTAGCCTACTATACAGTTTTCTTCACCTTTTTTCACTTAATGGTCAAGAGCATGTGAAATGTGTTGAGTTATTTCTTTTCAGAGTAGTGCTGTGGCTCTGAGTCAGCATAGCTGCTGTTGTAGTAGCAGCATTGGTTGTGACACTTGGTGGAGCTTGGGTGGCCCCATCAGATGTATTTTGCAAAAACAACTTCTATGAGTCTGATATTCATGCCTAAGAATGAGTTTTTTGCTAATGATATTAAGGATGTCATAGGAACATGGTCCATTTTCAAATTCAGTATTACTATTGTAAATGTTATCACTGTTAAGTCTGAGTGGTAGTCTGAATAGTTTTTTATACTCTTTCATCTTTTCTGTCCATTTTTCATACAAAATTTCAGGAAAAGGTGAAAAGTCAACTACAGAAATGATTAAGATTTGGTAGATGCAGAAAGTATTTACCATATTTTATTGACTTCAAGATCCAATTGATTTTAATACGTAGCCACTAAGAAAAGTTTCCACCACTTAATTGGTGACAAGCCATTGATAATAAGGTACACCTGGGTTTAGAAATGTGTTAAAATGTGAAATAATGTGCATCTTGCAGGTGATGAAATATGGTATATTTAAGCCTAAGCTTTGCAACTTTAACTTTCTAAATGAGTGGGACAGATAGCTACTTTAGAAAAAAACAAAAATTAGTTATACAGGAAGATCAGAATAAGCTTCTTTGAAAAGACAGAATTGCTTCTTGAAAGTTATCTAGATCTTGTTTTTTTTTAAAGATTTTATTTATTTATTTGACAGAGATCACAAGTAGGCAGAGAGAGAGAGGAGGAAGCAGGCTCCCTGTGGAGCAGAGAGCCTGATGCGGGGCTTGATCCCAGGATCCTGAGATCATGACCTGAGCTGAAGGCAAAGGCTTTAACCGACTGAGCCACCCAGGCAACCTGAAAGTTATCTAGATTTTGAATATAGCAAAATATGGGAGACTAGGCTATGTGGGTGATAGAAAATGAGGAAGGGTTTGGCATTGATAGAGTCATCGTTTTTAGTGAAAATAGTGTGGACAGGAGAAGGTGGGGTTGAACTGTGAACGTAAGCTTGGATGAATCCAGATTGGGGAAAGATCTTTGAGTTTTTCTTCATTTTTGTAAGGTTAATTATTCTGCATCTTTCTCTGATTGACTAAGAATGTGGATTCAGGATTGTCTAAGATTTGAGTCCACTAACCACACTGTTGCATTTCTACTTAGAAATTGTATAAGTCCTGGACACTTAAGAGTTCATATGATAAATAAAGATAAAGGTTGATAAGGTCCCCAGAGTTGACAGGAATCAGAGATGATGTAAAAGTAGAAGTAAGACAGACTGAGATGTCAGGGCAAGATTGTTCTTGGTAACAAAAAGCCTAGCAGGTGGGAGTTTAGTAAAAGAACGGGATTTGATGGTCAGGATCTTCTCTAGAACTCAGATAAAATGAGATAATAGTATCAGCTTTCATATGGTAGGGCACTTTTAAAGAAGGTTCATTATATAATATTAAGTTACAAAAATGGTTTATTGTACTTCCTTCTAGAAGCAGTCTGTCAAATTGGTGAACAGATTGAGAGACAGCACCAGGATGACCAAGATAGGTATCTGTTGATGCAAGTTGGATTCCCTGACAAGAAAACAATTATCACCAAGACTGGCCATGACTATAATGAATTTGGAAACGCATTTCATCTGAATACAAACCTTGTTGCTTCAATCCAAAGGTCCCATAAATATGAGCCATTTGGAAATAATATGGTAGATAGTTTAGACTTATTTACCAGAAGCTCTGTAGGAAAGAAATATGATAGTGGATGTGCAAAGTTATTTTTCCATACGGAGTATGAGAAAACAACTCCTGGAGTAAAGCCCCATGGATATAAAGAGTGTGGGAAGGCCCACAGGCGGAAGAAAGGGCTCAGTCTACAAGAGAGAATTAAAAATGGAGAGAAACCCTTCGAATGCACCGCGTGTAGGAAAACCTTCAGCAAGAAGTCACACCTCATTGTACACTGGAGAACTCATACCGGAGAGAAACCCTTCGGATGTACTGAATGTGGAAAAGCCTTTAGCCAAAAATCTCAGCTCATTATACACTTGAGAAGTCATACAGGAGAGCGACCTTTTGAGTGCCCAGAATGTGGAAAAGCCTTCAGAGAAAAGTCAACCGTCATCATACATTACAGGACTCACACAGGAGAGAAACCTTATGAGTGTAATGAATGTGGAAAAGCCTTCACTCAGAAGTCAAACCTCATTGTCCATCAGAAAACGCACACGGGCGAGAAAACTTATGAATGCACTAAATGTGGGGAATCTTTCATACAGAAGCTTGATCTAATTATACATCACAGTACTCATACAGGAAAGAAACCCCATGAATGTAACGAGTGTAAGAAAACTTTCAGTGATAAGTCAACTCTTGTTATACATCAAAGAACTCATACAGGGGAGAAACCTCATAAATGTGCCGAATGTGGGAAGTCTTTCAATGAGAAGTCAACCCTCATCGTGCATCAGCGAACTCATACAGGAGAGAAACCCTATGAATGTGATGTGTGCGGGAAAACCTTCACCCAAAAATCCAACCTTGGTGTACATCAGCGAACTCATTCAGGAGAGAAGCCTTTTGAATGTAATGAATGTGAGAAAGCATTCTCTCAGAAATCCTATCTCATGCTCCACCAGAGGGGTCACACAGGAGAGAAGCCCTATGAATGCAGTGAATGTGAAAAGGCATTTTCCCAGAAATCATACCTCATTATACATCAAAGAACCCATACAGAAGAAAAACCCTATAAGTGTAATGAATGTGGCAAAGCCTTCAGAGAAAAGTCCAAGCTCATTATACATCAGAGAATTCACACAGGAGAGAAACCCTATGAATGTCCTGTATGTTGGAAAGCTTTCAGCCAAAAGTCCCAGCTCATAATACATCAGCGAACACACACAGGAGAGAAACCCTACGCGTGTTCTGAGTGTGGCAAAGCCTTCAGAGAAAAATCCACGTTCACTGTACACCAGAGAACTCATACGGGAGAGAAACCCTATAAGTGTGCAGAATGTGGGAAGGCTTTTACCCAAAAATCGAACCTGATTGTACATCAGAGAACACACACGGGAAAGAAAGCCCACGCGAAGGGCCATAGCCGGAAGTCAAAGCTCATCACACATTAACGAGTAGATCCAAGGTGCCTCTTAAGGTTCACCGAGGGCAAGTTTTGTCTCATTAACGTTTTAAAGGTACGTTCTGATTTCTGGTTTAAATATGGGGAGTAAAAGGCTCTTTTCATCTCAGTCTTCACCCAGACACTACAAGGAGCAAAAGAGGAAGTGTAATCTCTGTATCTGCCACAAGGAGGAGATAGCGGAAACCCTGCCAAGAGCGCAGCCGGAGGCAGAGGGGACCACGCGCCAGTGCAGGAGATCTCGAAGCAAACACTCAAGGCTGCACACGTGGGGCCGCACTGGTGAGGACTCACCAGTTGAGGTTCAGGATATCCCCCAAGTGCAAGGCCAACTACATCCACTACGGTAACAGAGGGCATTGACAGGTGGGAGTTAGGATGTCTCCTAGACCCATTTGGGGTCTGAGGAGAGGCTGGCAGAGGCCTTGACAAGAAATCACTCAGACAAGCCATATTTGTAGAAAGTAGTCTGCAGTCATGAGAGGAGCCCTTGACAGGGGCTGGGGCAGGAGAAGGGGGTGTTCCTTGTGAAGAACCCTACAGCCGCCCCGGTTTACGGACTCTGGAGAAGTCAAACCGAAAAGAAATACCAAATGGGAGGGGGGGGAACAATTTTAAGAAAAACTCTTACCTGCCTAGAATGTGGCCCCCCTTTCTTACCCCACATGAACCTCTGGGGAACAGCAAGTCCAGGCAAAACTCTTACTCAAATAATGATTCCAAAGTAATGAAAACCACAAAGGCAATGGCTTTTGGGCCTACAGTTCCACTTCTAGGAATGTATATACTCATGTACGTACGAAATGATGACCACGCAGAGATCTTCACAGGTGCACTGTGAAAACAAAAGGTTGGAAGCTGTCTAGATGACAGGGGTCTAGATACCGAAATCATGGTATGTTCATACAGCAAACCTCCTAGGTAGACAAAATGAAAAAAAAAATTGTGTGTGTGCGTGTGTGTGTGTGTGTGTATATATATGTAGAAATATATAAAAATTTATATATATACATATATATAAAGAGAACTTGGACATCATCTGTGTAGTGATGTGGGACGATCTCCAACATGATTAGGAGCAAAAAGCAAGATGCAGGATCATGAATATAATATGCTACCATTCGCATATAAAAACAAATTGTAAGTACGTAATTGAGCATATATGCATCAACTCTCTCTGGGAAGATACATGAGAAGCTGCGAACCCTGATTACCTCTGGGAAAGGGCAGGGGAAGTGGGTGGCTGGGGGAATGGAATTGGGAGGGAGACACCTCTATGTCCTTTCATAACTTTTGAAAATTGTGCTCTGTGGCTGTACTACCTTTTCAATAAATAAAACTTTTTAAAATGAATATTTTGTTTCATTGCTGTGATAATGAAGTTCGATTCTAGATACAGGATTGCCTAACATTTGAGACACGGATGTTCAATATGGAGTTTAATGTTTTGAGTGAATAGTAAACAGAATAATCTGTCAGAACAACAGATAGCCAGCCGGTTCGAAAGGCACAGCCGGTTCGAAAGGCACACGGGCCTCACTTTCCCGAGTGTGCCAAGTGCGGTGGTTCTTAGGTCGGCTGGGACCACATCGCATAAACTGAAATCATGGAGACTGGAAAACATTTCCTAATTTAGTGTGCTCCATGACCTCTGAAAATACCCTGTATTAAAGCCCATCACTGTCCTTACATATTTTAACAAAACAATGTACGTTGCTTCATTTTGTGTTTGTGCGTGTGTATTTTTATCGTGAGAGAAAGAAAAGCGTGAGTACCCAGGCAAGTTGGGCAGCTCGCGTCCTGGGTCACACAACTGCTGGTGACCTATCGAGAGCTGTGGTCTGATCGGACATAGCCGAAGACCAGGTTGCAGTATGTCTGCACCAGAGTGAGAGGTCCCACTCTGTGACTATGTTTGTGGCCTCAGGATGCTGTGGTTTTTCACTGGGGCTCGATCTCTGGTGGGACAGGGGAACCCAAGCTGTGTAAATCCAGGGCAGGGGAAGGGTTTTGATTTAACCAGACAGGTGAGTGAGCCAGACCTCTGAGACCCTGCCTGTCTCCTGCCGGGCCTTGTTTTTTCCCTAAAGTATCCTGTAAGAAAACGAGGCGTGGGTTTGCTTTTTTGGAGCTACATAAGTCAGACGTGTCCCATTTAGTGTCTTCCCAGGGAGGAGGAAGCTTGGGGAAGAAACATGGGGCTGACAGCCTTACTTCTGGAGCCGTCTGCTGAGAGGACGCCCAGAGGCACCAGAAAGGAAGCGTTTCCTCTTCCCGCTGCTGGGGAATATCCCTGGGGTTTCAGGCCTGTCAAAGGTCCGAAGGGCGTTGTGGACAGGGGTCAGGTCTTGCCGTTTCAGGTTGATCGTGGACACCAGCTTCCTGGGACACAGATGGCTGTCTGATGGGCCCTGTGTGTGAGTGGAAGTCAGTGAGGCATGGACCATGGGGGAGAAAAGGGGAGGCGAACAGCAGGATACGGACGGATGGACCAGAATCGGGAAAAGAGATGAAGGTAACGAAGGGCCAAGTGTGGGGGGGCGTGGGGGAATGAGAGGGCAGAAAGGGGGCGAGCAGGGAAGAGTAGGCAAAAATGTGGTAAATAGCCAGTGGGGAAGGTGCTGGAGAAGAAAGAGTAGAGTAGAAGGGAATGTGAGTAATGGCTCGGAAAGGGAGAGTGAGTAGTCCGTGAATGGGCCGGCCGCAGATGTTGGCAGTGTGGGCAGAGCGGTGTAAGTTGGGACGTGAAGCATGGCGGGAATGCTAGCGTTGAGTGGGGCGGAGTAGAGAAGGGTCAGACAGGTGGCAAAGTGTGGCGGAGCACTGGCAAGTGTGAAGAGGAAGGGTACGGGTGGTTGTGGGACAGACTGCTGGATCTGGGGAGTGAAGGGTGCTCTGTGAGTTGGGCTGTAGGGTCTTGGGGTTTCAGGGATGCAGGGCCTCACGGTATTGGTGATGAGTGTTTGGGGAGGACTGAGTGGAGGCGGCAGGAGGTGGTCTGCATGGGTTTTTGTATGAAGAGGAGCTGCCCCGAGGACCGCAGGTGACTTCAGCTACGCGGGATGGGAAGAGCCCATGCTCGGGACACAGTGTTCAACAAATGTGCCTCCCATGTCCCACGTTCTTGTTCCGATGGTATACCCTGGGAGAGGGAGAGCCCCCCCTACCCCGGCAAGGATAACCCCGATGCCGCCCCCAAGTCCGCTCTGCTGTGGCCATAGGCCAGCCCTAGTCCTGTCATCTTGTTTTAGCTAAAACCTCTAAAATCGTATAAGTAATGATGGCTCTTCAACCTGTTTCCCAGGACCCTCGAGACTACCCTTAGATCCCTAAGCTCAGCCCTGTGACCCTTGATTGGCCCTGTGACCACCCAGATCAACACTGGGACCCTAGTATTTTAACCAGTTACTTTCTATTGTCTTATTTCTTTAGGAAAGATCTCCAAACTGAACTATGATCCCTTCTCACCTCCTCCTCTGGGAATGGTTACTATGAGAAATTCCCTCGATAGAATGATGGCCTCTAATACACTACCAGCCAAGCCGTCCCAGAGGTCTCAGAATAGGAAGGCTCACAGACCAAAATAAAAATGCTCCAGTGATGCGGCTTATTGTCACTTAAAAAACATAAGATCCATATATTTTAAAACCCACCAAGAAGCAAACAGAAAGGGACGGGTAAGTTAACATTTAGAACAGGGGGCAAACTCGGTGAAGAACCACGTTTCCTGATTCCTGTGTTACGTATTGTTCATACACACTTACCTCCGTTCTCGCTCGGTCTCTCCCTGTCTCTTGCATCAGCCTCACTGATGACCAGAGTTGAAGTTTAGACAAGGGGGCCAATCAGACTGAGGTTGCCCAAGGCCAAGGACATCTCCTGCTGGCCCCAGCTGTAGCTCCCCAGTTAGCTTCCGGCACAGTCCTGGGTTTTATCTGTGATCAATGGAACAATCCCGAGTGTCAGCAACTGGCGGTGAGTTTAGGTAAAATGCAGCTGTTGGTTTGGGTGGTAGGACACCTCTGTCCTAGTTTTTGCATTCCTTTCTGTCTTTAAGTGACACTGGTGTTTGTTCCACCACATATTCCATTTATTTTATTTCTCTTCAGCGTATCCTATCACTTACTGACTTACTCGCTAACTATATTTAACACATCGTACAAATTCTGCCTGTGCCTCCGAAGCAGCCTGCCCACTCACTGTTGATACCTAATGCCTAATGAGTTCTGGTAGATCCCAAGCTCTTTTCTGTGCTTTACTCTTAGGAGTTTCCTCCCTCGCATTTGCTTTCCTGTCCTCTAAAGGACAAGCAATAAGAAAAATCAAAGGGAGTTCTTTGAAGAGGTTAATGCATAGGAGAAACCCAGAGAAACCCAGGTCAAGGAGGAGGGAAAACACAAATTGTCAAATTAGGAGTGATACAGTGGACTTTACAGATTTCATAAACATTAAACAAATTGGGGAATTATGAAAAAAAAACTTTATGCCAGTAAAATTGACAATTTAGCCAATGTAATTAATGGAGAAAGTCACATCCTAATCTCTACGGACGCGGAGAAGGGGATCTCCTACGATTCAACATCCATTCATGATATAAATTCTTGGCAAACTAGGACAGGAGAGAGATTCCTTAGTCTGATAAAGGGTGTATTAAAAAAAGAAAAACTTGGGGCACCTGGGTGGCTCAGTAGGTTAAATGTCTGCCTTCGGCTCAGATGATTCCTGGGTCCTGGGATGGAGCCCTGCATGGGGCTCCTTGCACAGCAGGGAACCTTCCTCTCCCTCTGCCTGCCACTCCCCCTGCTTGTGCTCACTCTGTCAAATAAATAAATAAATAAATAAATAAATAAATAAAATCTTTGAAAAAGAAAAAAGAAAAACTTAGTGGTGACAGTAAAAACTTTCCTCCTGAGACTAAGAATGAGAACTAGGATGGCTGCTGTGCCCACTTCTATTCAACACTACAGGAGGACTTAGTGGCACACAGTGAGACAGAGAAAAGAGTGACTGGAAAGGAATAAAGCCCCCAGTTTTTTTTTAAGATTTTATTTATTTATTTGACAGACAGAGATCACAAGTAGGCAGAGAGGCAGGCAGAGAGAGAGAGAGATGGGGAAGCAGGCTCCCTGCTGAGCAGAGCCCGATGCGGGGCTCGATCCCAGGACCCTGAGATCATGACCTGAGCCAGAGGCAGAGGCTTAACCCACTGAGTCACTCAGGCACCCAAAGCCCCCAGTTTTTACAGATGACATATGTACACAGAAAAATCCAAAAGCATCCATAAATGAATTGTTAGATTTTTTTAAAGATTTATTTATTTATTTATTTGACAGAGAGAGAGAGAGATCACAAGTAGGCAGAGAGGCAGGCAGAGAGAGAGGAGGAAGCAGGCTCCCCGCTGAGCAGAGAGCCCGATGTGGGGCTCGATCCCAGGACCCTGGGATCATGACCTGAGCTGAAGGCAGAAGCTTTAACCCACTGAGCCACCCAGGCGCCCCTGAATTGTTAGATTTAAGTGAACTTTGCAAGGCTGCTGAATATAGGCTTGAACACAAACTGTTTTTTGTATTTGACTGAAAACAACTAGAAGACAAACACCATAGCTTCAATTTGGTGAAAGACAAATAATGGATGGGGCCAGGGAACGGTGATCCCTGAAAGGAGTTTACATGTGGGTGGGGTGAATTCCAACTGGGAAACGGAGAAAACAGCTTAAAGCTTCTCACAAGGAGGAGAGAAGAAAGCAGAAGAAGCAAAGGTCTCAAAGTTACGGACAGATCTATAAATGTCTGAATGCATAAAAAAGGATTGACGACAGGGGCGCCTGGGTGGCTCAGTGGGTTAAGCCTCTGCCTTCGGCTCAGGTCATGATCCTGGGGTCCTGGGATCGAGCCCCGCATCAGGCTCTCTGCGCAGCAGGGAGCCTGCTTCCCTTCCCCTCTCTCTGCCTGCCTCTCTGCCTACTATCTCTCTGTCAAATAAATAAATAAAAATCTTTATTTAAAAAAAAAGGATTGACGACAACTGGAGGGTTGGATAAATGAAAAGGCCAGGGAAAGAAAGGAGAATGACCCAGAAGGGCTTGTTCCAGCTGCAAGAGGCAGGGATGAGATCTTGAGGAAAAGAAATGGTTTTTTCAAAGCTAAGCAAGGAATATGGGGGGTCGGGAGGGTGGGAATGTGGAAAGGAAAGTTATTCCGAGGAGCTCACACCCATGTTCTATAATCACCAGAGGCCTACATCCTCTCTGTTAAGGAAGGCCAAAGATCTATCAATTACGTGTCAAAGAAATCTCCCTCTTCCATCATCACCCAGGGAGGATCTTGCCCTGCCAGCTGGCTCCTGTACATAGA